AATTTGTATTTAATTTTTGGAACCTTAAAAGATATAGTTATTTACCTTTTGGTTTGTTTTTGCCTTTTTCTTTCACTTGTATGATTGATTTAGGACCATACATGGTTTGGTCAATTCAACTTACAAGTAATCTCTATGTACTTTTTTGTCCAAACTTAAATTCAAAATTAATAGAAGATTTAAATACATTAATTTAAAATAAATCAAGTATTACTTGAATATAAAAAACTTAAAATGTGAGATTAATAATAGATAGGCCCATCTCTTTAAGATAAAAATGTTCTAAAATATTATCTCTTATATTCAATATTCGAATCCTAGAATGACTTTACTAATTTTTATAACCAAAAATATATTTTTTAAAAGAATTGAAAAATTCATTTTTGTAAAAACTACTAATATTCTAAACATGTATGTATGATAGTGGTATAAGATATTAAATGATTTCTTGTGGGAGATGGGATTCCAGATGAACAGTTATGATAATTGTGTCTACACTTTGGAAAAGAAATAAAAGACTATGTTATTCTTGAGTTTTAATGTAGATGATATCACTATTTATAAACTAGTATACTTGAAGAAGGTAACTGAGAGGTTTAGGATGCATCAATCCTATCTTATGAATATAATTTTTTGGGTCATAGATATCTCCAATGCCAAAACACAATGTGTCCTGTGGAAAAAGAATTAACTTTAATGTCGTATTAAATGTTTCAAAAAGAGATTTTTTTTTTCTTAAAAGACCATAACATATGAAGAGATTTTCCTTATATCCTCTATAATAAATTGAAATATTGAACAAATAAGTTAATAAAGAAAAAAAACTGTACGAATATATTATATTGCAAACATAATATTTAGTTTATCTTAGCCTAATCAATTTATATCAACAATATTCAAGGAGGATATAAGATCAAAAATAAAATCTCATATTCGACCTTGATTGAAAATTTAAAACAATTTTATGATGAGCATGGATACCTAATAAGTATTTGGTTATATTTTTTAATATAATTTTATTTTTTAAAAGAGAGAAAGATAATAGTAATATTTTAATAAGAAAATGATTGGTTTATATTTTTAAGTGAAGAATTTGTTAAGGAGAAGTTATATCTGTGTATATTGACATTAAGTCTTATTTTACAGGACATTTGACATCATTTTTAATTCAAAATTTCAAACTAATAAATTTACGGATATTTCATCATATATAGTATTTAATTTTGTCTCTTTTATTTAAAATAAGATTTTGACTTATACTTAAATTATTCTTAACAGAAAAAAATTATTAAAAAATAAAATGAAAAACTAGTTATAATGATACGATTATGATTAATTGGATCCAACTCATGATCTCTCATATCTATTTAAAAAAAAATGTTTTCCTTTCAAAACTATTTTTTGAAAATTTTGTTTCATTCTCAAATTAAATACATATTTTTTTCTATACTTTATAAAATTTATTTTAAAAAATATAGTTTGACACTCTTAATGATATAAAACAGTCCCTTTACAAGTTACTTTAATAATATATAAAAATAATATAAGTCAAATAATAAAAAGCACTAAAATATTAATTAAATAATCTTTTCATTAATAATCCAATTTTGATTGATGGTATTCGTCATTTATGTCACTTGTCATTGTTGTATTATAAAAATATCAAAATAAATTTTAATTTGTAAATTAATTTGACTTATTATAAGTTTGATTCAGGTTGAATTAAACAAAAAAGGTTTTTTTTTTAAATATGAGTAAAACTTAACTCAATTCATTTAATCTATAAATTAAACAAATTGAAGTTAGGTTAAAAATGATTTAACTCATAATTTATTAACAACTCTTTCTTAATTTAAAAAGAAATTATATTAACTCAGTTTAAAAAGAATAAAAACTAAATTAAAAAAAATTAAATTTAATGACGAAAGTTGTTAAATCTCGGAAAACGCATCCCAAAACCCTCTGTTCAGACTCATTAAAAACGCACCCAAAATCCTCTGCGCAGACGCCAGGTGTCAAGCGTCGAAGATTCGAAAATCAGATAGTGGAATGCAGGTGTCAGCAGACGAGCGGACGTTCGTTTTAAACAAAACTAATTTTTTTGAAAACCGCGTCACACTCTCTGCATGCACTCATCTTCTCCAAAATCCTGATCTTTCGAATTCTCCTTCTTCTCTCTAAGAGTTTTATCTTCTCTCTAAAGAAACTCACCCTTTCTCTTCTCCGATCATCATTCAGAGACCATAGAAGCGTTTCCGGCGTCTCAAGCTTCACTTTGAACCGAACAGTTCTGGATTCTGAAACTGGTAAGTTTCTCGTCTTTATTTGTTCGTCCGTATGAACATGCAAGCCAAGCTCTGGTTGCATGCAGTCACCTTATCTGAACCAATCTTGGTTTTCTGTAACTTGTTTTAGTTGAAGAGTTTGGTTGAGCGTTGAGGGTAGAAGAAATCTTATTTCTGCTAACTGAGTTTAGTCTGAAGGACGTACGTTCACACTAGAGGTAAGGGAAGCTTATTTAATTTAATTTGATTGGTTTGCTGATGAACTGTCTGAACGTTCGTTTAGTTGACTGAATGATTTTGATGCATGATGGTTGATATGATTATATGGAATGAACGTTCGTTTATTGGATAAGATGAAATGAAATATGAATGAATTAGGTTATAATGTATGAAATATGTTAAACTTATATGATATGTGCTGTATGAGATATGAAAATTGATTATGATAGGAATTTTATAAAGTTCTGAAGTTATGAAGTTATAAGTTAAGAAAAATGAGTTGGAATGTAAAAGATTCTGTATATGAGATTTCACTATGATAAAGTACGTTCGTCACTGAATGGTCATTGACCGTTCGATTTTCCTGTTGAACATTGTTGAAATGGGATTCTTTCATTTGGAAAGAATTCTAGTTGAGGACGAACGCCCTCTGGTAATAATGTTATATTTGAGCGTTCGGCCAAGCGTAGATGCCCCTGAGTGTTATGTGAGGAATTGAGAATCTTGTAAACATATAGTTGGATACTTAGTCATTCTTAAACCCTATCTCCATCATCTCGTATTATATTTATTACTATCAATATTTCTATTATGAGTTTAAATCAGTAATGGGTCTCAACCCAAGCTCTCGTAATGAGTGTGGCTCGGTCTTATACCGAACGCTCGTAATCGTTTTAATTTATTTAAACTTGATGAATCAGCGTTCGTTCAAATTCAGTAAATCCTTTTACCGTGTTCGGTCATTGACGGGCATTAGGTTCCTGTATATGATTGATTCTAAACTATGGTTATTTAACGTTCTGATGTGTCTACGTTCATTTGATCCGGCCTAGAGTCTTCGTACTTACTCTATTCTCTGAGTGAGGGTCTAAACTCACGAGAGTTAGTTCATTTAATTGATTCACAATGTCAATAACGTTCGTTACTATATATATATATTTTACCCAGGATAATTCTTGAATCTAAAAGTAATTCTCTTGGTCTTATTCTATTCTGGGGCTGGAGACCTATCTGTATCGTCTCAAGTGTTCGTCCTCGTTCTGGGTGAGGATTGAACGCTCGGTTTCTGGTGTCTTTATAAACCTTTGAACAAAGATGAATTTGAGAAAAGTGATAATGAAGGATGGAATTGAAAATGATTATGAATGAAATGATATGAAGTTGGACGAGCGTTCCGGGGAGGAACGACTCTTGGATGAATATTGATATTGTAAAGTATGAATATGGACAAAGCTTAGCTGATTCATCCTGATGTTCCATGAGTACTCGTCCTCAAGTAGAGGCGAGTAGATCATGTGTGGGAACGGCAGGAGGTCCTAGTCCTCAGGGGTACTTTGGATGGAACGGACTAACCTTGGGTAGCAGCTGATGAGAATTCCAGCTACTACATCACCCGGGTGCACGAACGTCGTAGCTACACAGAATTCATACAGTCCGGACAGTCGGTCTAGTATCAGGGTTTGATTAAATCGTTTATTGGAATGTGTTTGAATGTGCTTGCATATGAAAATGTATGTTATTACTTGAATTAAATTACATAAGCTTACCCTGTGTTTTTCCTTATGTTGTCCTGTCTGTACGTTCGTCTTGTCGTTGCAATGATCATCCGTGTGGATGTGAGCAGATGGAAGCGCGCTACTTGAAAAGGCGCTGGAAGAAGAAATTTTGGAAGATGCGAATCTAGGAGAAGTTGAAGTAAAGACCGAACCATAGAGCATTCGGTTTTGGAATTAGCAGTTTAGCATGAAGTGACCGTTCGGTCACTTCCTTTCCTTTTTGATTCTGACCGATCGGTACTTTGGCTTTTGTAAGCCGTTCGGTCATGTTTTCTTTATTTTAGTACAGTTTACTTTTGGAATTTATGTAAGGCCGTTCGGCCAAAACCGTACGCTTGAATAGTGTAAGACTGAACTGTTTTATTATTAAATATAATTATTCTATTATATGGTTTATTCCTATATTTTTGGGATGTTACGAAAGTACAAAAGGTTATCGTAATAATAGAACAAAAAACATATTAGTAATTACTTATATATTACAATTTAAATATATTTATATTATAATATAAATTCTCCTAGCTTCTTTATATTATGCACTTATATAATATAATCGGACTATATTTACAACTAATATAAGATTTTCCACAACGCATAAATACACAGAAAACTAAAAATAAATAAAAAAAGATTAAATAAGTTTCTATTACCTCCAAAAATTGATTTACATTAAAATCAGTATCACTAAATGATTTATTTTTAACATTGAATAAATACGATATGACCTCATACGTACTTACACTTTTTAGTGTAATAATGTTAATATTTTAACTATAAGAATATCATATTTTAATATATTTCATTTAACTGTGACATTTTAAGCGTTAAATTAAAAGTTTTGTATTATAATCATCAAACGACATATTTGTTAAAAGTTGGGATAAAAAACCAATAGGAGTGAAACTTGAGATATCAAAAACTTATTTAAATCTGTATAAATATATGCACACATGTATGCTACTTTAAAACTTTTTTTTTTCTTTTTTCACGTTATTAAAAGGTGGGTACGTCATGAGAAGGTTATTGATTTTTGAAAAATTTGTTGGCCTGGGGCAAGTATAGCCAAAGGGTCATAAAGTGATTTTCTTTGCTGGAAAATCTGCCACCGAGAACCAAAGTGCACCCTCCATGCTTCCTGTGTAGTGTAGTGTGGCAAGTATTGCTTTACTCCAAGATCAGCTCTTTCACAATACTCTAAGATTTTTTTGTTCTGACTCAGAATGTGTTCAAGCCCATCAGAACCATTGGAAGAGGGCACTGCAGAGGCAAGAAATGCCACCAAGTAGAAAATATCTTCTTCTGGTATAACAACAGAACTTCTGTTGTCCCATCTGCATAAAAAACAAACTAACAAACATTAATAAATGGGGCATGCATTCAACTGTAAATCATCATGTATCAAACATTTATAAGTAAAAATCATATAAGCTATGCATGCTTAATAAAACAAGTTTTTGTGTGATTACTTTGATTTATTTACTGGGTAGATAAGGACAGGGCCGTTGCTGGTTTCTGTTACGATGTTCCCAAAGACAACCTCTGCAAAATGGTGTATTTTGGTTTTGGGTATAAAAAGATTGAGCCATGGGTGGGGAACATCCCACAAGCCTTTTGAACGCAACTTGACCTCTGAGATATGCACCCTGTCTAGAAAATCTACATATGTGACTTCTGTTAGGAAAAGTGTTGATGGGATATGGTTCAAGTGGGACAAATGTTTCTCAACTTCCTGCAAAAGAAACCCAACACAGTTAGAGAGATGGTTTAGTTAAGTTTTTTCATTTGTTTATGTGTAATGTATTTTTCAAAAGTCGTAAAACAAAAAACTTTTTGTTTAGCTGTTGGTCCCTCACCTGATTCACCACAAGGGTTTCTTCCAGATTGTAGTATTTGGCCAATTCAAGGCAGAAGAGAGTTCTTCCATCTGACTTGAACTTGCTAGCTTGAACTGGGTCTTGTGGGTTGAAGGATGATCTCCAGTTATTTAGCAGACCGGTTCTGTTTATTATCACAAATCCTTCAACGTAATCAAAAGCTTTTTCTGCAAATATCAGTTTCTCTTGGTCTCTAGTGAATGCTGTGAAATCTGCATACAGCACCCTGATCCATTTTACCTGTTCAAAAACAGAAACGCTCCATGATCACAACAGGTACTTGCAAGTATATAATTAAAATACAAAGGACCTTGTTTCTTGTATTCTTGTCCTTGATGCATTACCATGGTAGGTGCAGGTTCCAGGAATATTCTTGCCTTTGTTATAATGCCAAACTGACCTAGCCCTCCAAGTACACTGTGAAAGAGGTCACCGTTCTGCTCCTCAGAACAGTTTACCACCTCTCCTGTTCCTGCAGTCATTTTACAGACCATCTTTTTCATTCATCCAAGAGAAAGCATATCTTTTGTTTAAAAAAACCTATTTACAACTTGAGACTTCCTACCTTGGCCAAGGCTAAGTCAAATAATGTATACTAGGGAATCATGTCAGTTTCAAGTGAATTATTAGTTCACAAAACACAAAAATAGTAGCTGTTGTTTTATGTGGAATATGTAGAGTATGTTTTATATGTTAACCCCCTTCAGACTCTTGACCTTGTTCTTATCTGCCACATGGTTTTATCAACACATATTTTTTTTCATTTAGTTACCAACCTGTAACAATCTCCAGCTTCTGAACATTACTTATCTGGGGACCATGCCTAAATGCCTGGCCACTTACACCAGCGTTGGATAAAGTGCCACCAACTGTGAGATGTAAGTAGTCTGTCCATGATCTTGGTGTCAATCCATACCTTAGTGTCTCATGCAAGATGTTAATCCACAGTTCTCCTCCCGAGACATCCACATAAGGAGATTCTCCTGCATACACCTTCATTTCTGGGACACCGAGTGACTCCATGTTGATCACAACTCCTCCATGAGACTGTGCCTGGCCCTGGAGTGAGTGGCCATGGCCTCTGGCTGCAACAGTGAGATGAGAAGCAGGCCCCAAGTTCCAGATATGCTTTATGGTGTCTGCAATGTCAGAAACTGATTTTGGATGCAGCACTGCCATAGGGTGAGACTGGTACCTGTTGCCAAAGTCCCTGGCTACATGTTTAAGGTCAGATTCTTCAAAACTGAAGTGTCCTTTCAAGGGAAGTGCTTTGAGTGAAGAGGGTATGCTGGAAATAGAGAAATTAAGCCTAATGGTTAAGCAACTGAGGAACAAAACCATGAGGCCTCTTATGAAGAGAATGTTGTATTCTCTGAGGAGGCTAAACGATGGATATCTCATTTTTCTGCACGAAGACATGGTGGTAGTTAAAGGGTTGAGGAGAAAGGGGGAAGAAAAACAAAAGGGGAAGTGATGAAGTGAAGAAAGAGGAGAGGGTTGAGGCAGAATTTATACAAGTTTGTAGGTGGCTGAGTCAACCTTTCAGTTATGAGAATCCGTATGAAGACTGATTACTTGGGAGGATTCCTTTTGGTTCTCCCTTTTGAGCTAGTTTGTTCAAAAGAGAAACCGAACCCATCATACTTAAGCCAACTTGAAGAGGAAAAGTGAAAACAAAGAGAGATCTCACAAATCTTCCCACTTTTCCAAACAGTTCCTACCACAACCCCATCTTTCCATTAAGGACAGACATGTTTCAAATTGTATGATCATTAACCAATTTAAGTATGCTCTATTTATTTTATTTTTCCCATTTAGGGAAATGAAATAAAAAAAAAGTCCTTGGTTTTGTCTTGCCTATGAAAGGCTCTTGGTATGCCCATGCTGCTGTCTACCTCAGTATGTTGGGGTGGTGGTGACGGTGGTGGTGGTGAATCCATTACTGTCGGAGTGTAAACATCGAGTATCGGTGTTATTAAATTGAATGAGAAGGACTTGCGGGGTTGTATTAATACATTCAAGAGGGAGATATGACAGTGGTGGGGCAATTTTTGGTCCTTGTGACACGTGAAGATTGATTCATTTTGTGCTACTGATGAACCATGTAGGGTCTAGGGACTCTTCTTGGGCCCTCCTTTGTAGGCCAAGGTATTGGAAGAACAACAAATGGAAACAATGAAAGACTGCTACTAACATTCTGATGCAATGCTGCACCACTGCACCAATGCACCACTGCTGTTGCTGCTGATGTTATTTAGAATCTTTTGTACGAAGCTATTGGACAAGTTTTTAGTGGTTTTCTTGTCTATACCTTCCTTTTGTTATATTTGGATGCCACTGAATTACTCTGCTACTCGTACTCTTCTACCCTTTTATCATTTTCCATTGCAAGTTGTGTTTTTGGTCCAATCACAGATTTTACAGGTTCTTAGAGTGATGCATAGGATTGGAAAAACATGCATTGTTGAGTTCTGTCGTTGGAATTGTTTTTTGATCAGCAATGGGTTCCATGTGGTCCTGAAATTGGAAAGAAAACCTGCCTTGTTCTGTTGTGTGTGGGAATAGCCTCTAGGTAGCAGCATCTATGTTTCATTGAGGGGAAAACATAATCATGATACTTCTTAGTGTTTGTCTCTTTTTGTTTTCTTCTCCTTAATTAGTTGGATTACTATTTCTGTCTCCAGTCAATTAATTAGGATATTCTATTTCCTGCTTATGGATTCCACTTGTTCTCCTTTTATTGCTGACATTTATTTGGCTTTATTCTCTTTCTTTCTTTTTAATTGTAATTTTGGCCCCATTTTTTTAATTATCCTTGATTTTTTCCACTTATTAAAACCCTTATTTTAAAGAATAATATAAAGATAATCATGCTTAGAGACGTCAAATGAAGAATTATCTAAATTTTCAAATTATAAGATAGATCGTTTTAGTGTTGGATTAGATCATAATTGCTTTAATACGTGATCTTTCTTTTAATTCCTATATCTCCACATCACAATATAAACATTACATGACAACAACCAATTGAAGAAGATCGCTTAAATAATTAATTTAGTACTTAGTTATATTTATTTTCATAAAATCTTAAGCTTTATTTAATGCTTATAAGATGTATTAGATTCTTCAAGTTTTTATCCCATTTTTTTTTATTAAAACAAGGTTAAATATGTTTTTAATCTCTTAACTTTCATGTCAAATTGAATTTTGTTTTTATTTTAAATTTTGAATTATTTTCTCAAATTTTATTAATGAATGAATATAATTATTGTGATTAAACGACATTAAAGATTTGCTAACATGGCAAATGGTGTTGTTATATATTAACATGTGCTAATGTGGACACACACATAGCAAAGTCATGTGTCACATCAACAAAATTTTAACGTCATCCAGTCACCATGATTAAATTCATTATTAATAGTTTGAGGATGAAAATTATTCAACGTTTGGCACAAAAATGAAATCTAATTTCGTATGAAAATTAAGGGACTTAAAATATATTTAATTCTAAAAAATATTTAAATTTTGGGTTAAATATGTTTTTAGTCCCTAAACTATTGGCCGTTTCTGGTTTTCGTCCCTCTTCCAAACTAAGGTACAATTTGGTCCTCATTCTTTAGAAAAACGTTCGTTTTAGTCCTCAAAATTTTGTTTTTAGTCATCGTTTTAGTCCTCAAAACGTTCGTTTTTTCGACTGAAACGAACGTTTTTTAAAGATTGAGGACTAAAGTGTACCTTACTTTGGAAGAGGGACGAAAACCAGAAATGACCAATAGTTTAGGGACTAAAAACATATTTAACCCTTAAATTTTTGAATGGATTGTATAATAGAAAAGAATATCTAATAACAAATTCATTAAGATATAAAAATCTATATACATGTATATGTGAAGTAGAACATATGTATCAATGTTTGTTTATACATGTTAGGTTTAATTATTCACATGGTCTTTATTTTCGTGGAAGAGTGTCAAGTTAGTTCCCATTTTTAAAAAAAATTTAATTACATCATAACTTTTGAAAAAGTATCTCAATTAATTTACCTTTTAAAAAAATTACGAATGGCATTAACGGCATGTCATGTGTCATTATGTGATTTTTTTTTATTTCTTAAATCTTGTAAAAACTTTGGTTACTATGTGTCAAATCCCTTAGTGTGATGCATGACGTGATATGATATTTCCACTTGTCAATGTTAATGTCAAATGTTATTATCTTGATTTCAATTTAGTTTTTATATAAGTCCCTTTGATTCAATTTAGTCTTAGTTTTTTCAAAATGGATCTTCTTCAAATTGAGACAAAATTTATTATTTGTATAAATGTTATATTAATATTTTTATTAAAAATTAATTTTTAACATATTACATTATTGTATATTACTAACCCATGTTTTGTTAATCATGACTTTAACCACTAAATTTTAATATAAATATTAATATAACATTTATACAGTAATAAATTTAGTTTCAATTAAAAAAAAATCAAAATTATTATTTATATAAACGGTATTAATTAATTTATTCTTATAATAAACATGTATTAGAGTTAATCGTGTAAAAAAAACATCAATTAGCATGAATTAATAATATATAATATGTTAAAAAATTATTTGTAATAAAAATATCATTATAACATTTGTACAAATATAAATTTTGTGTCAATTGGAAGAGTATAAATTTTGTATCAATTTGGAGAGTGACAACATTTTTCTATTTTGAAAAGATTAGATGAATCATAAAGACATACACAAAAACTAAATTAAAATGAGGACAATGACACTTGACATTGATACATGAGAGTATCTTGTCACATGATATTGGTAATGTCACATGTCACACGAAAGACTTAACACTGTGACAATAAATATTTTTATAATATTTTTTTAAAAAAATTAAAAATTAAAAAGAATACGTATTGACCATGACGTTAATGTCATTAATAATTTAAAAAAAAAACTAATTAAAACTACTTTTCAAAAGTTAATTAGAACACAATTATAAAAAAATTTAAAGGTAAAAATTACACTCCTCTACTAAAGTGAAGACCGTCCAAGTTTGTGTTGGAGTATTAGAAGAAAAGAAGAGAGTGAATATAATGAGTGGCCTAGTAAACATAAGACAATGTATGTGTTTAATGCATATCAAACAACATAGTGTCCATAGAAACAAAAGTTGAACAAGTTATAACTTTCTTCTCGTTTTTCATTAGTAACAGAGAGCTAGAAAGATTTTGGAATTGTAGTTGCAACATGATAATGGTATATATGTTGTAATAATGTTAGGTTTTTTCTCGTTATTTTGTCAGCTTTTATATAATAAGAAGATATCGGTGTTCGATCTGGATGGACGTTCGGTTCATGAATGAAGAGGACTGGACGGTACATATAACAAGAAGATATCGGTGGTTAAATAATTAATGATAGCTTTTATAAGTTCTGCCAGAAACACTTGTTATGTAGCAAAGGTAGAAGCTACCAAATCAATGCATTTTGACATTGGTGAAGGGTCTATTTAACCATGGTTTTCGAGAATCTATGAGGGTTGCCAATGGTGGGGCACTTTTCACAAGATTCTTATGAGATTATCTCAGGATAGTACAGTATAGTAGTAACTCATCTTTATTATGTCGGTTGGATAATCATTCCTTCTCATATATGTGTGACTATCTATCTACATATACTTTTTCTAATATTCGTTATACACTTTTTTTACTATTATATATATATATATATATATATATATATATATTTCACTTTTACTTGCTAAACTCTTAATTTTTTTTTTCATATTGTTCAACCTTTTCACTTTTACGATAACGATATCTTTTCAACAACATGTACAATGAACTAATATTTTTTTATAGTTGAAGGATGTGCGTACTTTGTTATAAATAATAGGTTTTCTTATGAGAGTGAAATGCATAGTATTATATAAGAAGGAAGGTGTGAAAGAATGATACACTCTACCATGGAATAACTATTAATCTCACAAGCTTATAATATTATTCATTCAATATAAATAAATAAATTTTTTATTCTGTTATATAATGAGTATTTGTAAATTAGATATCATGATAACTATATTCATGTTATTAATAAACAAGTAATTAAAATATCGGTACACATCATATATAAATATCTAGTAAATATATTCATTTTAATATTCATGTACCTACAAATATTTGCGAGTATAATTTTTATTATTATTGCTATCTAATGTTTTAAAAAAGTTTGTACATATGACAATACATTGATTATGTATTTTCATTCTTCAAATATGTCAAGTGACAATTCATTAATCATGCAATTTTCATTTTTTTTTTCCTATATTGAGTCAATTTTGATTATGCAGTTTGATAGTTTAGTTATTTTGATCCGTTGTTAAGTTGTTGTCAATGTTCAACAAAGAAACATTGACGCTACAATATGATGCGTCACCTTCCTTTTTTTTATATATATATTTTTTTTTCATTTTTGTTTTATTTGGTTTTCCTTCTTTCCTTTTCTATTATGTATTTATTTATAAACGTTTATTTTTGGTTTTTATAATTATAATAGTTAAATAAAAATGTAAAGACAATAAAATAAAATAGAGATTTTTCTTTTTGTAATTTTAGACCCTTAAGTATTATTGTGCTCTGTTGAGTCCTAAAAGTACTAAATGTTACAAATGTGGACAAATCAAATGTATAATATTCTATAAAAAAATTAAATAACGGTAAAATTATAAGAATCAATAATGA